CAGAAGAAGAGCACGAGGCGATATTAGACGCTTGTTATATGTCTCCATATGGAGGACATTTTGCAGGACACAAAACCGCAGCCAAAGTTTTGCAAAGTGGGTTCTTTTGGCCCACTCTGTTCAAAGATGCACATAAGTTTGCCCAGGTTTGTGACAAATGCCAACGGACAGGTAATATATCTAAACGCCACGAAATGCCTCAAACCCCGATCCTTGAGATTGAAATATTTGATGTGTGGGGTATAGATTTTATGGGTCCATTTTCATCTTCTAATGGTAAGCTTTATATATTGTTAGTAGTAGATTATGTTTCGAAATGGATAGAAGCCATTGCAACTGCTACCAATGATTCTAAAGTTGTCATTTGTTTTCTGCAAAAGCACATTTTTACGCGTTATGGAACCCTGCATTGTCTGATAAGTGATGGGGGGGCTCATTTTGTGAATAGGTCTATGCAAAAGTTGCTGGCTAAATACAATGTGCGTCATAGGGTTGCAACAGCATATCATCCTCAGTCGAATGGGTTAGCCGAAATATCTAATAGGGAGATAAAAAATATTTTAGAAAAAACTGTAAATCTTAACCGTAGGGATTGGTCATTGAAGCTTGATGATTCACTTTGGGCATATAGGACAGCATTTAAGACTCCCCTCGGCATGTCCCCCTATAGGCTAGTCTTTGGAAAAGCATGTCATTTGCCTCTTGAGCTAGAATATAAAGCATTTTGGGCTAYTAAGAAATTAAATTTTGATTTGTCGGCTRCAGGTRAAGCGAGGACGTTACAATTGTTGGAATTAGAAGAACACAGRCAATTTTCTTATGAGAATGCTAAGCTGTTTAAGGAAAAAACTAAACAGTGGCATGATAGGCGTCTTCGRCCGAACAATCTTCAAGAAGGTGATCTGGTTCTGTTATTCAATTCTAGGTTGAAACTTTTTCMTGGGAAACTTAAGTCTAGATGGTCTSGTCCCTTTAAAATTTTTAAAGTTTACCCATATGGGGCAGTGGATCTAGTTGATTCTAAGGGAAGTGTTTTTAAAGTAAATGGGCAGAGACTTAAGCCATATTTTGGAGAACCAGTGGATAGAGGAAAAACCTCTATTCAACTTTTAGGACAATAAATTTTTGGCGAAAAATGTTTTTCCTTCTTATCCGTTTTGAAAGAACAAAAGTAGAGGAAGGAAGTCTTTGTATCTTACATTTTATTATTTTTTTTTGTTTAATCATAAAAAGTTTTGCTTATTAAGAATGTTCTTGAAAACGTTAAAAAAAAGAAAAAAAGAGAAAAAAAAACGTTGAAAAAAAATAAATAAATAAAATTACGCAGGCGCCTGGCGCCTGCCCTGTTTTCCCAGCGTTTCAATTTTTTTTTTCTTTCTTCTCTTCTTCCTTCGTGATTTGGGTTTCATTTTTCGACTTTTATGGGTTTTATTTTGGGTCAAACATTAATCCTTTGTGATTTAAGTTTCAAATCTCTCCTTAAACTAAAAAATACTTCAATTCTTGTTTCCCTAATCCTATTTGGAATTCAAACTTATTTTTTCCTTTTAGGTTTAGGAAACGTAGTTAAACTTAAATCTCAATCCCTTTCCATTTAGGATTTAGTTTGGGGAAAACTTTAAATAGACCCATTGCCTAAGCCTTGCACCTCCACCAAAACCCACACAACTCTCTTCCTCCCCTTTGTTTTTCGAAAAACCCACTCCCTCACCACCATAGTTTTCGATTTCGGCCACAACCAAGAAGAAGA